GTGGTGGAGACTCTCCTGTATGGGTGCGCCTCGTGGAGCCCAACAGCGGAGTACTACACGAAGCGCAATGGGACCCACCGTCAGTTCCTTACACGGTGCATCGGCTGGAGCAAGGGAAAACGCTCAGACCGCCCCCTGTCCTATGCCCAGGCCCTCATCCAGGCAGGCTGCGAGGAAACCATCGAGGCCACCGTGCGCAAACGGAGACTGTGTTTCGCGGGCTTTGTTATGCGCATGGAGGACAGCCGCCTCCCCAAGCGCATGCTGTTAGGAGCGATGGCGGGGGGCGTGGGATACCGGGGCGGGCAGGAGAGCGACTGGGTGTCTCGTCGAGGAGAGGACCTCGTGGCCTTCAACATGGGAGACGAAAAGGAAGGGGGGGAAATGGAAAGAGAGCGCCAAGGACTCGGAGGTGTGGTACAACAAGGTCGAGGACGGGGCGGCATGGTTCATGAGGAAATGGCACAGGCAGGAGGCGGAAGCGTCCGCGAAGCGCCAGCGCGCGAGGGAAGCAGAAGCAGAGAGTACGGCCTCAGGACCGAAGAGGAAGAGAGCCGGGGAAGCGGCGGTGGGGGGGAAAAAACGGCGACCGGGCACTGCTGTAGAAGCGAGTAGGGCGGCCGAGGCAGCACGTGTGGCGAACTATGTACCCGGCTGATGCTGTTGCGCCCGGTTTCCCTCCCTGCTGTATGCCCTTTATGTATGTCCTTTGTATTGCCTTCGGCCTCTGTGCTGTGTATTTGTGTTTCTTTTTTTCCTGACCTCCCTGCCTACTCTGCTGTGTTGGGTACCGTGATCTCGCTTTGCTGTTGCCTTTGTTTTTGTAGGTCTGGCTGTCTGCCCATCTGCCGCCTTCCTGTTTTCTCCGTTTCTCCCATGCCCTGGTGCGTAGTGCCTGGTGCTGGTACGTTGCCCTTTGATTTTTTCTTTGGGCGGGTGTGGGAAGCTTTCTCCTTTATTTTTGTTTTTGTTTTATTTTGATCTGTCTCCGAGGGCTCTTTACTCGAACGGTCGGTGCGATACCTGTTCTTTTCTTCCTATAATGTTTTCTATTTCCGAGTGGTCTGTACCCTATTTTTGTTTTGTTTCCCCGCGGCGTCTCATGTGCCGGGTTTTGAGACCACGGGCTCCCCATTTATTGTGGACTATAGAGCTAATGCGAGAAACAAAAAACAACACCCTTGCAAAAAATCAGATCAATTTTGATCCTGTCCGCGAAACGATGAGGAAAAAACACTTGTTAGTAGTGCAGTGATCTCCCTCGCTGACATGGCCATTGCAGGGAGTGAATCGATATTACCAAGTACACCTTGTGCTCATGCCATCCACTGCTGCATGAACAAAAACCTACAAAAGTCTGGACCACAGCACAAACTGAAGCTGCTGTGGACATCAGCACACATGTACAGCTCCTATGTGACCCCGGTTGGGTCGTCTAGGCAGTAGAAGTGGAGGATAGGGGCCAGAGGGGCAGACGACAGAGTCCAATGATGGGAGAGAAAAAAAAAAATGTGCAGCCAGTAATATACGGAGTATAAATATATATCTATATTTCTCCTATCATTGGACTCTGTCGTCTGCCCCACTGGCCTCTATCCTTCACTTCTACTAGCTAGACGACCCAACCGGGGTCACATGGGAGGGGGGGGCTTGACCCCCCCTGCGGTTCATGCCTGAGGTATTTTTATCGCGAGAAGGGTACAGNTGTGCAGCCAGTAATATACGGAGTATAAATATATATCTATATTTCTCCTATCATTGGACTCTGTCGTCTGCCCCACTGGCCTCTATCCTTCACTTCTACTAGCTAGACGACCCAACCGGGGTCACATGGGAGGGGGGGGCTTGACCCCCCCTGCGGTTCATGCCTGAGGTATTTTTATCGCGAGAAGGGTACAGCAGTTCCTTCCCTCGAGACTTCCGAAGTCGATTATGGTTTACTATCAACGAGCTTTGCAGCGCGTCGCTTTCATCCTAGACCAGGATTTATTTAGTCAGAAAAAATCTCACTCTCCGCCGGGACTCGAACCCATGACCTGGCCCTTAGCAGGCTGCGAGGCTACCCACTAGACCACCGGAGCGACCGGTCTATGGTACTTCGCGAATATTCGCGCAACACAGCAGTGATTCAATATTTCATTCAACCCACCGTTCGGTATTGGCCAACACGATCTGCAGCGTCTGCGTCAGTGAAGCTAGTTTCCGCTGCATGTGGTGATGGAGAGCATTGCCATCCTCCTCTTTCCCTGTCCGCCTCAGGCGTGTCGGGTGTTGGGGGATTTTCTTGGCTTATTGCGTTGAAGCTCCTCTTCTTGGACGGCTGCACGTGGTCATTGTCCATGGCACGCAGGTGGGGATCTTGATCTCCCCCAATAGAAGATGTATCTTGCTTGTGTGCGAAATGGGAAAGAGAGAGTGATATCCTTTTGCTCGCTACAGCAGCAGCGATGCAGTACTGCTGTACACACACAACGATAGAGCCACTCCTCGCTCCTCCGAGACAGAGAGGAATCCGCAGCCGCATGTACACACGTGGTAGCGGTGAGGAGGATACATCCGCGGAGCCCCCTTTGTGAGTGTACAACATGGTTGATTCGAGGTCGGTTTGCTGTTGCTTGTTGGTGGTGCCCTGCTGCCACAGGAGAAAGGACAGACGTCTGGACAACAGCTGTTCGGCGGGCATGGGTCGCAACAAGGAGCTCAACAAGCTCCGGAAGAGGAATAACTTGGAAAGAAATGGATCCTCAAGCAACGGGAGATCAAGTGTGATAGCGGCGACATCCGATACCGCCGGTGCGTGTGCCAAGGAAGACAACATGTTGTTGAGGGGCGTACATGTATCGTAGTGATCACGCGCGCCCCGCTCTCGGTGCTGCTGCTGCTGCTTGCATGGCTCACTCTGCCGTGCTGGCTTGATTTGGGTGCTATACTGCTACCTTGCAGCAAGTCTCCCACCGATTGGCGAGGACGGAGGTGCTGGAACTGGGTACTGCAGCAGTACACAGCGGCCGGTACTGAATTGTTTGCGCTGTTGATCGGCACAATTCAGTACCGGCCGACAGGTCGAGGCTTGCGTTGCTGATTTCGTCGCCACCGTCGAGCGTAGGCTGCAGTAGGGACTTGAGACTGCCGCAACAGGTTGCAGTGTAGTCTATGTCATTCCCCAATTGTACATTTCGGGATGTGGTGTATTGTTGTTGTTGTTGTTGTTGTTGACTTCACATTAAACCGTATGCCAGTTGCTAAATGCCAAAATCTAGCAAAGACTCTCGGCCCGTGGTCACGAAAGTGCTGGAGCCATCTGAGGATCTAAAGAACACACACACGTAGCAAGAAAAAGGTGTACAAGAGCCCGAAGAGGTACTACTACACCTATATATAATCCAGCACCGTACGCGTGCCCAAAACTGAACTACACGTCCGTCTCACCGTTCGACTACAGCAACATCACCCCCTACTTGTCCCACTCTGTACCAAAACGAATGATTGCCGACTACAGCATACTTGCTGTCTGAAGTGCTGTCTGTACAAAAACACCATGGTAGGCATGGAACAAGAAGCTGGCGGGGCACAAAGCTGCTGTCTGAAGTGCTGTC